ACTGGAGTCCCCGTAACCCTAACGCGGAAACGAATCATGGAAAGTTTAGTAACCTAACCAAAGTTTTAGAAGTTCTCCTTCCGTACATCCAACATTTCGGTTGGTGCGTCTTCCTGGCATTTGCATGTCCCTTCCTCTCACTTGGAAGTTGCATACCTCTTCAAAAGATTTGAGTACAACGCTCTGCTTTCCAGGGTCCTTTAAGCATATCGAGCTGTAGGACGTGCAAGCGGCGCGCTGCCGAGGTTTAGCCATTCCGAACCAAATGTCCCGTGTAACAATCTGTTTCCCCAACAGCTCTTCGTCCCTGGAACTCGAAGCTGCCAAGCGCTCATAACCACGAGGACAGCGCACTTTCTGAGCTGCACAGGCGCGCGCGGCTGAGGCATGAAGCCTCCCTGGCCCGGACCAACCACCTTCTTCCCCAGCGCGCATCTCGCAATTCCAACACAACAGCCGATATCTCGTTTACATCAGTAACCTGCTAGGGTTGACGAACGAGAAGAAACTCGACCCGAACACAGTCGTGTAACACGACAAACAGTTTGTCAGGTCAACGGTCTCGCCTTCCTTCGAAAGCCCAAACGAGCGCAATAATTCAACTTGTATTGCTGTTATCATGGGGACAAATATTATGGAATGTCGATTGCCACGCAGCTTGGGCAAGGGACGCATGGACGAGTTCCCGGGCTCGGACGAGGACGCCTGTGACGAGATCAGCGCTCCCTTGCTTGGACAAGTGAAATCCTTGGACAGGCGGGCTATACCAGGTAAGCTTACAGCGCGGGAAAAGCGAGGATGTGCACTGTGAACGGCGACAACCCACTCACACGACAGTATCCACATGCGCCTTGGTACTCGTACTCACTGTACGGGGCATCAGTCACAAGCAACACCCATGGCGCCTGTCTGCTGCTCTATGTCAGATGCACCTGCTCTTAGACAGAATGTAGACCGCAGATCTCCTTTGGGGCACCGGAGCCCCTGATAGGACAGCCATATATTGGCGACCTGTCACAGCCAACGATTGCCCCGCCTGTCTCAATGGGGTCAGCTCCCGCGCCATCGGCTGACGGCTGCCACATCCCTTCGCATATCTGCCTGTATTGCAGACAGCAGTGCAGAGCCGCACTCAATGTCACCTGCAGCATGCAGCTCTTCAACAAGTGTCCTGAAGGGGTGCAGTACCAAAAGTATTTCACTTGTCCAAGCAAGGGAGCGCTGATCTTGTCACAGGCATCCTCGTCCGAGCCCGGGAACTCGTCCATGCGTCCCTTGCCCAAGCTGCGTGGCAATCGACCTTCCATAATATTTGTCCCCATGATAACAACAATACAAGTTGAGTATTGAGCTCCTTTGGGCTTGAAGGAAGGCGAGACCGTTGACATGACAAACACTACTTTGTTTGGGTCGAGTTTTTTCTTGTTTGTCAACCCTAGCAAGTTACTGGTGTAAAGAAGATGACGGTTGTTGTGTTGGCATTGCGAGATGCGCGCTGGAGAAGAAGGTGGTTGGTCTGCTCCAGGGAAGCTTCATGTCTCAGCCGGTTTCCTTCTGAGCAAGCGCTTTGCCTGGTACGAAAATTTACGGCGCTAGCTTTCATAGGTGTTACGCCTCTCGACCCAAATCCAAACATTGTGCAGTTATCATCATATTTATATAACTCCTCACCATCATATTCACGCTGCAACATCATCATCATCATCATCACCATCATCATCCTTTTCATCAGCCCACAGGAAACACAACACAACTGGGACACGGTGATGTTTCAAACAGCCATCATTTCTTACCATATCATACCTAATCATACACCAGTACCATTTCACTTACTCAGTGCACAGTGAACATTTCAGTGCAAAAACATAGCAGGAATATCGCATGCGTGCATTCAAAAACACTGCCACACCAGGAAAAGGTGAAAGCCCCCCAGGACGAGGATGAAGGAGACCGGGGCCAGCGAGGAGGGGGCTTTGCAGCTACAGACATACAGACAGCAAAACCAGTCAGTAGCCACGGCTGCCGCTTCAGAAGTCGGCCCCATACAAAACCCCCAAGGGACCCGCAAGAGACACAGACGCGAGCACACATACATACATACATACATACATACATACATACATACATACATACATACATACATACATACATACATACATACATACATACATACATACATACATACATACATACATACATACATACATACATACACACAGAGAGCTTGCTGTGGTGGTGGTGTTGGGTAGCACAGCAGGAAACACCCGAACACACACCGTGATCATAGATAGCCCTTCTCTCAATTCCCGCCGCTGCCGCTGCCATTGCCACCATAACCGCGCCTTGAGAACCAAGGCTGTTCGACCGCATCGTACGGCAAACGTCCACCGGCCACTCGCCCGCACACTCCTGAATCGTCATGCTCGTCCGTAACACCACCACCGCGATTGAAGAGCTGCTGCTGGTGCTGCTGCTGCTGGTGCTGTTGTTGGTGGTGCTGTTGTTGGTGGGATCGATCCGTCGGGTGGTCAGAATGAGCATCTAGTGCTGTGATGCCGCCACCGACACCACCACCACCACCACCGCCGCTATTGCTTATGACGTGACCCGAGTGGGTGTAGTGGTGCGGTGAGAGCGGTGGCATCCATGGCGGGTTCAGGTGCTGCAGCGGCCCTGGCTGCCGGTATTGGTGACTTGGGCGGTATTGCGGCTGCTGGGGTTGGTGCGGAGGATACTGCGGCTGCTGCTGTTGCTGTTGTTGTTGTTGTTGTTGCAGTTCTTGTTGCAGTTCTTGTTGCTGCTGCTGTTGCACCACTTGCTGAAATTGCTGGTACTGTTGTAGGAAGCGTTGCTGGTATCGGTGTTGGTACCGCTGCTGGAACTGCTGTTGTTGTTGTTGCTGCTGTTGTTGTTGTTGTTGTTGTTGTTGTTGCTGTTGTTGTTGTTGTGCGGGATGCCGTATTTGGTGCTGATTTGGCTGCGTCTGCTGGTGCAAAAGCTGATGCTGGGTTTGGGACTGCAAGTGGGTGCAGGTGGGCGATCGGGACGGCGAGGGGGATGATGACGGTACTGCAAGGTGATGGCTACCGGCGGCCGGCATGTACGACAACGGGACACCGGAGCCCCGTGCGGACAACACCGCCGCCGCAGCGGCCGTACCAACGGACGGCCGCTGACGGACACCACCACCACCGCCACCAACGGGGGCAACAGCAGCACCACCACCGCCACCGTCTCCGCCGCCGCCTTGGCGGGATCCGCTAGCACCCGCACCAGCAGCTACAGCAGCAGCACCAGCAGCATAATCAGCAGCAGCAGCAGCAGCGGCGGCGGCGGCGGTAGCAGTAGCAGAATCGCCACCAGCCTGCCTCAATCTAGCCCAAATCGCGTCGACGGCTGAAAAGACCGAAGCCTCACTGGCATCCGGTGCGGCAGAGGCAGCGTGGACTGCTGCCGCCACCGCCGCCACATCACAACTGACGTGGTCGCTCCGCCAAGACATCGTGCCGTACGGAAGGTAAGGATCGGCAGAAGGTGGCTGCGGCTGCAGAAGTTCTGCCGCCGCCAGCATCGGCGGAGCAGCTGTTGAAGTCACTTTCGGGCGAGCCACCGGCGCCGTGGACGCTCCAGTACGCTCGGCGGCGGCGGCGGCGGACTCCATAGAAGTTATGGACCCTGGCGTGACAGTAGCAACGGCTTGCTGGTACGACGGCGATATTTGTCCCGAATGCTGATGAGGTACACCAATCATCGACGGCACGGCAGCGCTGCCAGGGGTTTGTCCCTGCATATACGGCAGTGGCATACCGGCAACGGCGCCTGACGAATACTGCTGCTGCTGCTGCTGAAACGCAGGTACCCGAGTTCGCGGCGCTGCCAATGGTGCTGACGGCGCCATCGGCGGAAGATAATGCTGGTGGGACGACATGTCGTAAAATGCGTCGCCGCCGCCGCCACCGGCAGAAGTGCCATCGTGCTGCAGCTCGGCCTGTTGCGCATCAACTTTGGCTTCGCCAACGTCGTTTCCAGTGATGGCGACGGCGGCTGAAGCAGCTCCACTGCCGCCGCGAACAGGTCCTGGACGGCCTTGAGGCGGCCTAGGGGGATGTTGTGAAGGTGGATTCAATTGCGGTGCGGTGCCACCGCCGCTGCCGCCCTTGCCGTCCTCGCCGCCATCGCCGTCGCGCCCATCGTCCTCAGAATCTGAGTGAGCAGCCGCCGCGCTTGCGGCGGCAACTGCCGCAACGGCGGCCACCGCCGCTGCGCGGCGGCTGCGGCCACCTCCCGCCGCCGCTGCTGCCGCTGCCGACTGCGGAGCTGGCGCTGAGCCACGTTGCGGTCGACGGACGCCATGCTGCCCTGCTATGCCGACCGCCGCCTCGCCGCCAAGGCTGGCGTTACCGCTTCCGCTGTCGCCGTACGCCTGAGTGCGTGACCCGGCTTGGGAGGGTAGCGCGCGGCTGAGCGGCTGCTGATGGGAACCCACCGCGGCCGCCCCCGTCGCCGTCAGGCTGCGAGTGCCTTCAGGCACGGCTGGCCTCAACCGAATTTTCAGCTTGCCCTGTGGAACCTGGGTTCGATTCTCGCTTCCGTCAGTATGCCCTTCAGCCGTGAAAGAATTCAGCGGCGCCATTCCCGCCGGCATCTGCGGCGGAGGCAGCAGCGGCGCCCCCGCTGCCGCCGCCGCCAAGTGGACTGCAGACCCTGATGGCCCAGCCGCCTCCGCCTCCGACGGCCAGCCGCCCCCGCCTCTGCCTCCGACGTCGCCTCCATCATACATTCCAACGTTCGTTGTCGCTGCCACCGCTGCCGTCATCGCCCGCGCGGCCCCGGCTGGCGCAATGGACCGTCCACTTCGCCCAGAGGCCCTTCGACGGAGTTCTCCGCCGCCGCCGCTGCCGCCGCCGTCTACACCACCAGCGCCGGCCCCGTCACCGTCACCGTCGCTGTTATCATCATCACTATCGTCCGGCAGATCGTCCTCCCAGTCACTGCCGTACCTTGCACGCTGCCGGGCCCTGGACGAGCGACGCAACGGTTGAGGCTGCGGCTGCCGCTGCTGGCGGCTCTGTCCGCGCTGCGGCTGCCGCCGCCGCCGGCCCCGGCCGCCACCCCCATCACTGTCACTGTCGCTGCCGTCCGCCCCTTTCCCCAAGCCCAGATCGGAATCCGAATCCTCCTCCTCCGCAGCCGCCGCTGCCGCGTCCTCGTCATCGCTCCAGTCAGAGCCGTACAACGCCGCGAACCGGCCAGGCGCTCTGGCCGCCGTTTCACGTCGCGGCCGACTCGGCGCCTGCTGCTGCTGCTGCTGCTGCGGTCTCTGCCGCTGGTGCTGCTGCCGCCGCCGGGTCCGACCCGAAGGCGATATGACTCGCCCGCCCCGGTCCTCCTCTTCCTCCTCTTCCTCCCACTCACAACCCGAGTACTGCTGGCTACCGCGTTGCCTCCGCCGCTGCTGCTGCTGCTGCTGCTGCTGCTGCTGCTGCTGCTGCTGCTGCTGCCGCAGCTGCCGCTGAGGCGCCGTCGCCGCAGGAGCGGCATTCAGCGCGGCGGCATACCTACCCCGCGCAGTGCGCGCCAAGCCAACCCCTCCATCGCCGCCACTGCTGCCACCATCGCCAGTATCCAAAGGCCAGTCCTCCACGAGTGATCCGCTGTCCTTGCCGCCGCCGTCAAGAGGGGATAAACCCGCTGCAGGCTCCGGCCCGGAGGCGGCGGCGGCCGCCGCCGCCGCCGAAGCCGCTGGCGGGACCCACATGCCCCCACGGCGGCGAGGACCCGTGACGCCGCCCGCCGCATCAGCGCCGCCGCGAATTGCGTCGGCGGCACTCCATCCACGTCTTACCCTGTCAAGTCCGACCGTCGCCGCCACCTCCGCCGCCTCCAAATCGAGGGCCACGTGTTCCCACAGCCGCGACAGGTCCACCCGGCGGCGCCGTTGCGCCGCCATGTAGCGCCGCCGCCGCCGTACGGCCACATCGAGCCCCAGGATGAGCACATCGTCGACACAGCGGCCTATGAGTGCGGCGGTGAAGTGCAGGCGCATGTACCTGGCGCGCTGCGCCACGGGGGAGTCGGCGCCGTTGAACCGCTCCGCATTGCTGACGATGGTGTCCATGTCGTGGCTGAGGTGGGCGTCGTCGTGTGTAAAATTCAATTTTAAAAGTTGTGTAATAAAATTACAAAATATTGAAAATTGAGCCACCGGGGGGTTCGGGATGCCACTCGGAGAGACGACACAAGCACAGCCAGGGTAAGAAGTAGCGTATGTAGTACATAAGCCGGCATGGTCTGGCATGGAATGCGTAGACAGCCATTTTCAAGTTGAGGTCAATCCTTTGGTGAAATGGACGAGGCGGTGGGTGGGGTTGGTGATGCACCGGCAATTTTTTTGGATGCGCTGGAATAGATTTTAACTACTTATTCTGACCGGGGCACGGCTACGGTTAAGAAATACCGAAATCGAATCCTGTCATGTGCAGAGCTTTCCGCACTCTTTCTACCACCCAAATATCCAAGTCTCACCCACGTATATGCCCAATCCCCCATCCACGATCCGAAGACCCCCCACCAACACGAAATCACTTCCCGACAGAAAACTCCCTACTACTCATTACCGCATTGCCGCCAGCGAGCGGTAGAAGCAGTTGTCAAGCCGCTGTTCAATGATCTCTAGGGACATCGGTAGCGGTACGATGGCGTTGTACGGCACGGGACGAGCGTCACCGTCGCCGCACGGGTACGTTGCCTGAAGAGTCCGGGGGAAAGGGAAGGAAGGGAGAGGTGAGGCGAGGGGAGGGAGGATAAGCTGATGGGCCGAGGTGGGAGCCCCAATCGGCGGCAAACTTGCAAGGTGGTGAGAAAGAGCCAGCATTACGGGAGAGGTTGCAACAAGGGAGTGAAGAGCAATACGGCAGATGAGAGATATTAAGAGTGAGGTACAGGCACACATACTGTGGCAGATATGCAGATGGAGCCTCTCTTTCCCTTACACTCGCTCGATGACTCCTTTCAACTCCTTTTATGTCGTAACAACCCCCCCCCATCCATATGCGAGCAAGCCTCTTACCCCGCCGCCGCTTTTTCCTCTCCCCGGGCTATATGCCTCGCCCCATGCCGTACCGTTGGCGCCGGACATTGTACGAACAGGCCGTACAGCCTGTCCTCAGAGAACAGTCGTTCCAGGGCTAAGCGGGCCGCGGAGGCTTGTTCCTCCGCCCAGCCGCCGCCAATATCCAGATGAAGCTCCGAAACCACGTCAACAGTGCCACCGACGCCGCCAACGCGGCCGACGCCAATGCCATTAAAATTTGACGTGGAGGGCCCGTCGCCGCTGCCGCCGTCGCCGGCGCCGGCGCTCGCTGCCGTGGCCGCGGCGGCCACAATCTCGTCCGCCTTGGCGGCGGCGGTAGCGCGCGCGTACCGTACGACATCGTCCCATGATGACGTCAGCGGCAGCATCGCCCAGGGGCTCAGGTACGTGGTCTCAGCTGCAAATGCAATACACACATACACGTGCACAAGGCCGTAAGAAATCGATCAGTTCGTACACAAGCCGTACATAGGAACTGGCCCCCCCCAGCTCTTTGCGCTGGTCTACACAGTCCACCAACTTCAAGTGAACACGGCGGTGGCGACAGCGCCGCAACAGCGATAGCGGCGGCGACGGCGGCGGTTACGACGCCCACCTTCGTCGTCCCACACGACGCCGTAGCGCTCCCACAGGTCCTCGCATTCGTACGGCTGAGTCAGCGGCGGCGGCTCCCCCGACGCCAGCGTAAGCCCCGGGTAGGCTCGGTCGCTGACCACAGTCGCGGCAAACCAGCTACCCGCACCGCCGTCCGCGGACTGGTACGTCTGAGAGTGAAGGATGAAGGGGTAAGAGGAGGGCGGCACGGCGGGGTGGAACTCCTCACCGCGTTGGAGTCGGCGGCCCTTGAGTTCTCAACACCCCTCTCCCCTTTCTAACAAAACCTTCCCCCAAACACCCAAACACCCAAACACCCAATTCCCAACCCATTCGATCCCCTCTCTCTCCCCCCGATTCCGCCCCCCCCTCTCAACCTCCAAAAGTGGTACTGGGCCGTGGAGCTTCCGGGGTATTTACCCAAGCAGTGGCAGTAGCAGTGGCAGTACCGACGAGTTGAACTCCTTGCGCAGCTGGCGGCGCCCACTGCATGCCTCTTGCATGTATGTATGATTTTGTTTCCCCTCCTTCCCCCTTCCTGTCCCCCCCTCCCTTGGCTCCTCACCTCCCACCTATCCCTCAGCCCCCCTTCACCCCAGCAGCAGCTTCGCTCGTTCGTTCGTGGTTCGTCTTTCCCCTCCAACCCTTCCGTCCCCCCCCCCACACCACACCCACAAACCGATTTCCGCACCTTGCACCTCTCCCCGATGCGCCACCTCCTCCCTACCGACCGACCGAACCGCGGCAGCGGGACCAGGAACTCCACGGGCTGCGGCAGCGGGCCCGGGACGGGGGGGGCTGGCAGCTGCACAGCGAACACCTCACCCGCCACGGGGCTGCCACTGCCGGGCTGTACCATCAGCTTTAGGCTTTGGAAAGGAAGGAAGGAGTGAAAAAGGAGTGGGAAAGAAGACGAAATTAGGGTTTTGAATGGAGCAGGGAGAAAGAGAAATACGTGGGCAGGGAAACGAGGGGGCGCAAGGTTGATTGCTCGGGTGTTGATTGCTTTTCCTCTCCGCCGTCCAAGATCTTGACGGATAAAACCTCTAACAAATTTTTCAAATTAACAGGCAGGCAATGCAAACCCAAATCCAAACTTTTCCGACACGCCGTACACCCATTCTATACCTATCACAACACACTCGCCTGATACACACGCTATATATAACCCTCCCCCCTGCCCCTTTCCACTTCCCCCGTCCCCTCCCCCTCCACCTTCCCCTCCCCCTCCCACGCACTTATACACATCTTATGACACGTCACCCACTTTGCTGCAGTACGGTACGGCGGGCCGTCTCTGAGTATTTCAAACCCCAGCTCGGTGATGATGCACGGCTCCGCAGGCCGCATACCGGGCAGGAGCCGCCAGGGTCGTGGGGCCCTCCTGTCATCCACAGCCTCCAAATAGCTGAGGGGGGCCCGGAAGGGAGGCGGAGGGGAGGAAGAGGGTGGGGGGGAGAGGCGGGGGAATTTTGGGGGAAATCACGTGCTGCAAAATGAAAACCCCATACTCACGGACACATGCATACATACACATCTAGAACGCATACATACACACACACGCGCGGTGCCTAATGCACCCTAAGTTAAAACACACACCAACGCCTCCGAAATGGCATCTCGGCCCCCCTCCCCGTACATACACACAAACCCACTGCCGTACGGTCCACTCACGCCTGGTGTCCTGCCTTCACGTACACCACCTCATCCCCCAGCTGCGGGCAGTAGTAGTCCGGCTGATAGGAGGTGCGCTGCAGTGTCAGGACGGGCGGAATTGGAGAGGGGGAAACGTTAGTGCTCAGTTTCCCTTAGTGCCGCTGATGTTGAGAACGTCCACACATCCATCCACTTCTTCACCTACCCAGCTACTACCAGTCTACCGCCACTACCACCCCTACCATCACCACTACCACTACCACCACTACCACCACCACACAGATACACACACAGACACACACACACAGACACACACACAGACACACACACAGACACACACACAGACACACACACACAGACACACACACAGACACAACACACAGACACAACACACAGACACAACACACAGACACAACACACACAGACACAACACACACAGACACAACACACAGACACAACACACACAGACACAACACACAGACACAACACACAGACACAACACACAGACACAACACACAGACACAACACACAGACACAACACACAAGCACAACACACAAGCACAGGCACTCCGTTCACCTGCAGCCAGCTGTACGCTTCCAGAGGTCTGGGCCGTGAACCCCCCGCCTCATGAGACCTCTTGCGCGCTAACAGCTGATGAACACCCGCCCGCTGCTGCTCCAGCTCATCACCATCACCCTCCAACTCCCCCCCTTCCTGCCGCTGATGTAGCTGCCGGGGCCCCGGCCCCGAACGCCACCCAGCAGTAGCAGTAGCAGCGGCAGCGGCGGAGCCTGGGGGACCGATCATGATCTGGTCGTCGCCGCCGTCAGCAGCGGCGGCTGCAGCGGCTGCAGCAGCCAGCTGCTCCCGCTGTCGGCGCTCTTCCCGCCGCTGCTCCCGGCGCTGCTGGTTGCGTAGCTCCCGCCGCGCGCGCAGAGCCGCTCGCCGCTCTCGCTCCCGCTCCCGTTCCCGCTGCCGGCGGATGGCGGCACGGCGTTGCCGCCGCCGGACTTCGTCATCCTGTATGTACATATGTATATACGTATGTATTTCAGGACGTACTGGCCCTGCAGAGACGGCTCGTCGTCTACCTAGCGCCAACGCCAAGATGTGCAATGCACTACAAAGCAACAACCATGTGCACTACAATAGCAGTTCGGCAGCACAGCAGCACAGCTGCCGCAGTAGCAGCAAAAGCAACCTGCACGACTCTTCAGCACCATCGCCAATCCTAAGACTGCCCTAAACGACGTCACCACCGCTAAGCACAGTAAGTGCCGTCTGGACGAGGCGATCGAGAGAAAAGCTACTAGATACTTCGAGCCTGAAGTATCCATCGCGGGCCACCATCTGGGCCTCTGGGACTGGGCCGGGTACCCCGAAATGGGGCGTCTTCGGTCCACCATCACCACCCCAAAAGCCTGAACGCCCATCAGTGAACACACATACATACACACACATACAAGCAAGGACTACTACTACTGGCACTCACATCGCCGCTGTCATCGTCCACATCCTCCTCCTCCTCTTCCGCACCCGTGCCACCGCCGTACTCCTCGTCCTCGAGCTGCTCGTCCAACAGCTCGTCATCTGTGCCGTACGACTCCAACGCATCGTCGCCATCGCCGTACCGTCGTTTATGGCCGCTGAGCCGTGCTGAGCGGCGGATCCTGTTTTCCAAAACAAATGCGCCGGCAGCCGGCAGCCGATAGCGGGTCGGTGGTCGATGGTGGTCGGTGGGTCGACCGGGGGTTAGCTAATAGGGGGTTAGCTAACTACCCAGTAGCTAACTACCCATGCAAACACACAAAGCATCAACTACCGACGTGCAAACCGGCTGCAAACTGTTGAAGCCGAGGTGATGGGGATTCATACGGTGGCAGAGATGAATGAAGGTCAGATGAACAGCTGCCGGAGTCCGTTAGGGGCGGGAATCGCAATCGGAGGAGAAAAGGGGCAGGAGGCGCGGGAGGGTCGTCGGCCGTGAAGGAGGGGGGAAGAGAGGGGGAGAGGAAAGCAGGGCGATAGTGCTCCTGCTCTTAGGCCAAGAGGTGAAAGGCGAGGGGGGCGTTTTCCTCCTACGGGAGGAAAACACCGCATTTGTCGTACAGTGCCGACGATTACTCACCTCTCCTGCTGCTCCTGCTCTCGCGCCTCCGCCCGCTCCCGACGGCTGCTGCGGCGCAGCGTCAGACCCTGACTGCCGCCGCCCTGACTGCCGCCGGCGCCGCCGCTGCGGCCCTGCTCCGCAGGGCCGCCGCTACCCTCCCGCCCGCCACGGCCGCCACGGCGGCCGCGGACTGGCCTGCCATCGTCGCTGTCGACAAGTACGACAGGATCATCGTCGTCGCTTCCGTCGCTACTGCCGCTGCCGCCAGGGTCGCTGATGCTGACCACGTCATCATCATCGTTATCGTCAGAGCTGCTACTGCTGCTACTAGCCTCGTCGCGGCGGCGGCGGCGGGCGCTGTCGTCGCTGTCATACCCCGTCAGCTGCAGCAGCAGCGACGGCGGCGGCGCACCCGTCGGGTCATCGATGACGAGGTACACGCCACGCGGGACAGCGACGGCTGCAGGAGCGGCCGCCGCCGCCGCTGCCCCCACCACCGCCGCTGACAGCGGTCGCCGCTGTGGCGGTTCACTGCCGGGCCGGCTACTGCCAGCCTGGGCCCTCCTACTGCCTGCACATTTCAATGCAGGTTTCAAGTCGCCAGGTTGCGGGAGAGGGAAAGGTGAAAACATAAGGGTCCGAGGCCGCACACGAGCAGGCGTTTACTACTGTGCAACTCGCAATATGCAGCATGCAGCATGCAATATGTCAGGCAGGTCAACTTCACACTTCAAATCTTTATTTTACGTCCAGGAAAGGGTTCAGTCCGGGACCTCACAGCAGGTGAGCGCCAAACCCCTCTCACTCCCCCTTCCTTTCCCTCCCGGGGCCCCCCTTCCCCCCTTCCCCACCTCTCCCAGGTTGCGGCTGGTCAGGACTGGACAGCGCTGCCAGCGCCTGCATGTGCCGTTCGTACGCCCGGTTCATAGCCTGCTGTACGGCAGCGGCGCTGGCACCGTTCTCCACCGCGAGCCAGGATGCAGATACCAGTGTGGGCGGGTGGGACAGCAGAGCCTGGGACGTGAGGTGAGGGGGAGGTGAGGGGGGCGGGGGCGGGGGAGAAAGACGAACAACGAGCGGGGCCGTGGGAGGGGGAGGGGAAATGCGTTAAGGAATGAAGGAGGGGGGTTCATGAGGGGAGGAAAGGATGAGGAGTGCGAGGGCAATGAGCGGGGCCAGGTGAGAGTTTCCCCCTGAACCTCATCCAGGAGGGGAGACAGGTGATGCGGGGGCGTGCACGTCCTCTTCGTGTGCATCACACCTTTTCCCCGCACCTCCCCACCTCCCCACCAGCCGCTTGTACCAGCTGCCTCTACAGTCCCTGTGTCCCTCGACACCCTCCACCCCACTGTACCCCGGCCCCGATATGCACACACATACATACATACATACATACATACATACATACATACATACATACATACATACATACATACATACATACATACATACATACATACATACATACATACATACATACATACATACACTCACTGGCGGCAGCGGGTGGTCGCGATCCACGGGGTGCGGTCGCGGCAGGTCCCCCAGGCGCCTTGCCGCATACGCCGCCTGCACCTCTATGGGGTAGGGGTGGTTGGAGAAGTCGCAGAGGGTTTGGCTCATCATCAAGTGGGGGGCCAGCTGTGTGAGCTCGTCGATAACCCACCTGAAGGAAAAGGGGGTTGGGAGGGAGGGAGGCGGGAGGGAGGGAGGGAGGCGGGTAAGACGAACCACTAGAGAATGAAGCAGAGGAGTGCAGGAGGGAGGGGAGGGAGGGAGGGAGCGGTGTGGGGGGGGAGGGAGGGAGGGAGGGAGGCAGGGAGGAGGGGAGAGGTGCCCAGGCTCATGGAAGCCTGCGCGGTAATGGGGGGGGGGGAGAGAGGGAAGATCGATTTAGAAGTGTCAGCAGGGCCCGGTAGATGGGGTCCAGGAAGGCTGTACGACGCGACAGGAAAACACACAAAACACTGCCCCTTCCCCCCCGCCCTTCCCACCCGACCAAACCACACGCACCGACCCACCCGTTCACATCCCGCACCAGCCCGTTGTACTCCGAACCCAGGAACTGGTCGTACGGCGCCCGTGCCATGGCCTCCGCAGCCGCCGACACGGGCACGCCGTAGAGATGCAGCTGTCCAGCCGTGTCTGTGACGGCAAGCTGTGCGCCGCCCGGTGCGAAGTGTCCATCCACAAGCTGCAGGGGGTCGGTCCAGCGGCCCCGTCCGGGGAAGGTGTCCTGCGTGCTGAACCTGGGTTTAGGGAAGGAGTGGGGTGTGGACGGGGAAGAGAGGGAGGGAGAAGGGGGAAAGGGAAGAGGGGAGGAAGCCGTGTACATGACCCACTCACGATTAATCACAAGAAGTAGTAAAACACACATCAACACAGTTAAAAAAACCCATGCAGGGGTTATGGCACGTTTTTCAATCCTAACAATCATAACACGCACGTCGCTGGTGACCACGGGAGCTCGCGACCGAGCTCGCTTTGGTAAAACAAGCACCACCGTGCACCACCATAATCGCCATTTCCCTCATTTCGCGGCTCCGAAGGTCGTCAAAACAACACAACACACGCAGGGGGATGATGGTAAGGGGGTGGGGGCCGGGTGAGGCGGGGAGAATCCCACAGCACACCCCCGATACTGATACATGAGTTTCAGGGTTCAGGGGGTGAGGGTCAGACAAGCCAGATCCTTTCCAAGCACACACGCACCCATGCACCCATGCACATACAAAAAAACACGCCCGAGCGCCCCTCATCGGACGATACATTACCGTACACTCACATGCGAAGGGCGGTTCCCGCAATGACGTCCCATAGAATGGTACGACCGTCGTACCCGCCCGACATGACTAGCCGCGGGTCCTGAGGATGTGCCTCCAGCACGTGCGCCTGAAGTACGGTACAACATTGGGACCGGGACCAAGGGCGGTGTAAAGCTGTGGTAGGCAGAGGTGTCAGGAACACATACACACGCATATGTGTTTCATCGCCGCTAGCCGGCGTTTATTATTCCCATCAGCCGCGGAGAGAAATTCACGAAACTGGCTAGCCGGCATGTGCACGTGAAACCACAACTTGGAAACAGCCTCGGATGTCTGTCTGTCTGTCTGTCTGTCCGTCCACATCGATATTCACCCGAGAGTACTTGCACTAACTATCCCCGGCTGACCCCACAGATCACTTAGCGTCCAATCTGCTTCCAATCCCCCATTCCAAAGGAAGGAAGGAAAACACATACACAAACACAAACGCACACGCGTCTTCGGAGCCCCGCAGGCCGGCCGGCCCCGCCGCTCCCCCCCCCTCCCCCC